TACACTAGCCCGAGGACGTCCCCCAGAGGTGATGGTACACTAGCTCCACGGATGTCCCCCAAAGGTGATGGGTACACTAGTCCACAGACGTCCCCCAGAGGTGTTAGGTACACTAGCTCCACGCATGTCCCCCAGAGGTGATGGGTACACAAGTTCCATGGTCGTCCCCCAGAGGTGATGCGTACACTAGCCCGAGGACGTCCCCCAGAGGTGATGGGGACACTAGCCCTGAGGACGTCCCCCAGAGGTGATGGTACACTAGCTCCATGGATGTCCCCCAGAGGTGATGGGTACACTAGCTATGAGGACGTCCCCCAGAGGTGATGGGTACACTAGATCTGAGGACGTCCCCCAAAGGTGATGGGTACACTAGTCCGCAGACATCCCCAGAGGTGATGGGTACACTAGCTGCACAGACGTCCTCAGAGGTGATGGGTACACTAGCCCGAGGACATCACCCAGAGGTGATGGGTACACAAGCTCCTCAGTCGTCCCTCAGAGGTGATGGGTACACTAGCCCGAGGACATCACCCAGAGGTGATGGGTACACTAGCTACACAGACGTCCCCAGAGGTGATGAGTACATTAGCCTGAGGACATCACCCAGAGGTAATGGGTACACTAGATATGAGGACGTTCCCCAGAGGAGATTGGTACACTAGCCCGAGGATGTCCCCCAGAGATGATGGGTAGACTAGCTACAAGGATGTCCCTTAGAGGTGATGGATACACTAACTCCACGGACGTCCCCCACAGGTGATGGGTACACTAGCTCGGAGGATGTCCCCCAGAGGTGGCATGACCACACTAGCTCAGAAGACATTCCCAAATGCTAATGTGACCACAAACTCGAAGGACGTCCCTTCAATTCATGATAATAACCCTTCAATTCATGATAATGAAACTACTTATTACCAGGATGTCCCCATCACCTGATCACTAGCTTAGAAGACGTCTTCCAGTGGTTATATAACTGCTAGTTAGCAAATCCCAACACATTCCTGTTCACTGATGAAATAGCTGTTCATATTCTTCGTAACTTTTTTACTGTACTTTGTTACTGCTCTCTCCATAATTACATAACATATCACATTTATGGGTCTTAGCAATGGAATTCACAAAATGTTCATCTACACCAATTAACAGAGAAATAAAATCGCTGAAGAAATATAAGGTGGTTTACAGTATTTGAGGAAGATTAAGAGATATAGAAGGCAGGAGTCATTTGTATTTGAGGGCACAGTTGGACGGTGGGAGGGTTGCGGGCAGTAGACAGGTGGTGTTTTAGTTTTGGAGGTCCAGACAGTGGTATAATGTCTGTATGTAAGACCTCTTCCTACTTCAGTCTGGTGGGGGTGTGGGGTTAAGGGAGTTGTGCGTGGGGAGAGGGGGGAGGCAGTAGACAGGTGGTGTTTTAGCTGTGGAGGGCCAGTCTGTGTTAGTTGTATAACCTCTTCCTACTTCAACCTTTTTAAGATTCTTCCTAGCTTTCACCAGACAAATTTATAGCACATGTTTCTTCCTCCCCCTCCCTCGACCCCCTCCCTCGACCCCCTCCCTCGACCCCCCTCCCCTTCCTCCCTTGTAACTGACATAGCGTCTACTTAAGTGATTTTCCTTTCTTTCCCCATAAAAGTTACCTGCAGCCTATAAAACTCCTTTCTCCTGAATCTCAAGACTCTAGACAGACCTCCCCTCCCACCCCACCCCATCCCTCCCTCTAACTTCAAATCACCCAAGCAAAATCAAACCTCTACAAACCATCTCTAGATTATCAAACATCCCCAAAATGCTCTCTCCAATCGTCCAAACTGCCAATCTGCAAATCTCCCAAATATGCCTTTCTGTCACTGTTCCATCCAAAATTCTCTTAATCTGCCTTACAAAAGATTTTTACCTCTTCCATTTCCTCAAAATCTTTTCCACTCTCCTATTCCTCCAAATCTCCCCATCCCAATGTTTCCTGGTCTCTCAATCCCCCACATATTGTCCATTACATTGATTATTCCCCAAGCCTTATCCCAACCCACCTCCACCAATCAAATCAAAATTTTTCTGATATCTCAACCCCATAAATCACTCCAGCACCTACAAATCTATCCTCTTTATCCAACTCTCACAACCTCCCTAACTCTTTCCCATTCCTTCCAATCTTTCCCGTTACCCTAAATTTCCACCTCTATCACATTCTCCAAATTTTCCCTCCTCCCTTTCCTTCTCCTTTCCTAACATTACAATGAATAAGATTTTTTTTCTTTGGCAACCTCCCTCACAACCCAAAATGTTATTCTTTCCCCTGATCCAAAAATCTCTATCAAATCTCTAATACCTAGCCTTATATGTTCCCTACCTTCTTCCTCATTACATCAGATGAATCTCAACTACAGGATATTTGCTGGTCTTGTCAGCTGCAAATGTCATTTCTGTCACTGCCATCGTCAGCATTATCATTGTCATCATAATCATTGTCGTCATAAACATAATAACAGGCTATGTGACCATGTTTACTGATGTAGCACATCCACCAAGTATGGTTATCCTATAGAATTGGTCAATACATACGCAAGGTCATTCTACTAAGGTGATCTTTCTCCAGTGGTGGTCACCTTACAGGACAGGTCATTCTACAGAGGTGGCCATTACATATTGGTGGTCATTCTACTGAGGTAATCATTCTCCAGTGGTGGTCACCTTACAGGACAGGTCATTCTACAGAGATGGTCATTACATACAGGTGGTCTTTCTCCAGTGGTCACTTTACAGGACGATTAATTCTACAGAGATGGCCATCACATACGCAAGGTCATTTTACTGAGGTAGTCAATAAATAAGGGTGGTCATTCTACAGAGGTAATCAATAAATAAGGGTGGTCATTCTACTGAGGTAATCAATAAATAAGGGTGGTCATTGTACTGAGGTAGTCAATAAATAAGGGTGGTCATTCTACTAAGGTAGTCAATAAATAAGGGTGGTCATTCTACTGAGGTGGTCAGTGAATAAGGGTGGTCATTCTATAGAGGTAATAAATAAATAAGGGTGGTCATTCTACAGAGGTGGTCAATAATTAAGGGTGTTCATTCTACAGAAGTAATCAATAAATAATGGTGGTCATTCTACAGAGGTGGTCAGTAAATAAGGGTGGTCATTCTACAGAGGTGGTAGGTAAATAAAGGTGGTCATTCTACAGAAGTGGTCTGTAAATAAGGATAGTCATTCTACTGAGGTGGTCAGTAAATAAGGGTGGTCATTCTACTGAGGTGGTCAATAAATAAGGATGGTCATTCTACAGAGGTAATCAATAAATAAGGATGGTCATTCTACAGAGGTGGTCAGTAAATAAAGGTGGTCATTCTACAGAGGTGGTCAGTAAATAAGGGTGGTCATTTTACTGAGGTGGTCAGTAAATAAGGGTGGTCATTCTACTAAGGTAGTCAATAAATAAGGGTGGTCATTCTACTGAGGTGGTCAGTGAATAAGGGTGGTCATTCTACAGAGGTGGTGAATAAATAAGGGTGGTCATTCTACAGAGGTAATCAATAAATAAGTTCGGTCATTCTACTGAGGTGGTCAGTAAATAAGGGTGGTCATTCTACAGAGGTTATCAATAAATAAGGGTGGCCATTTCATTCTACTGAGGTGGTGAATAAATAAGGGTGGTCATTCTACTGAGGTGGTCAGTAAATAAGGGTGGTCATTTTACTGAGTTAATCAATGAATAAGGGTGGTCATTCTACAGAGGTAATCAATAAATAAGGGTGGTCATTCTACAGAGGTGATCTGGTCATTCTATACAGATGGTCATAACATATGTGAAGTCATTCAAGTGAGCTGGTCTTTTTCCTGATCACTTTGGAGGAATGGTCATTCTATAGAAATGATCAATACCAAGAGATGTCATTTTACTGAGTCACTATCACCTGTAGCTGCCACAAATCACCAAACTCGCCTTATTATCTGTACCTCTGTTCTGAATAGAATTCAATTCAAAAACTTATACAAGTTCCATACAAGAAGTTAGAGCACATTCCTGTGTTGTATCACACCAAAGGTTTATACAACACATATCAATATGGTTTCCCCTGCAAGTATTCAGACCACAAAGACAAGCCCACATATGATTTAGTATATATCTATATACCGACAGTGTTTACAAATCTAACACATTAAAAATATCAGGAGTCATTAATTTTCAACCAAACCTACAATTTTTCACCACATCTTTAAATAACTCAGACTTTTTTTACAGCTATCCAGCTATCATGTTGTTGCATGTGAAAAGTATATATTCTAAAGTTACTTTTTCGCTGAAATGTCATTTTATATATATAGATAGATATATACCTACAAGGTCAACTAAAGTATGTGAATTTATCAGTGTTACTGCATTTCTCTGCGGGCAGATTCGCCCTGTGTAGGTGTTAGGTATGTAAAGCTGTGAGTGTGAATATCACTGTCGTCTGCCACCAGGTTACATCATACTCAAGTCACAGCAAGAGGACATAACTCTGCAGTAACTGTGTCACCAATGTGAAGAAAACACTGGCAATTTAAATGTCAGATTTTGGGAGGGAGGTATGAACATTTCTCTGTCAAATCTTACAATTTTGATATGTGACTATAATCAGTTACCAGACATTGTTTTCCATTATTAGATATTAAGTATAGGCTAAATGTAGCGGTGAAACTGACATGCAGTATGTCTGTCATGAAAAACAAGTGGAGGGATTAGTGCATGTAAAATGTCCCCAAAACTGTTAAATGTACAATGACCCTGTTTAATCAGTTGTTTGGTTGTAGGATCTATGTGTTGGTAGGTGGCTAACAGTGAATAGTTATGCTTTTTCCTGAATGTTTCTTTGGTACCCTCTTTCTGGCCAGTTTTATGTCAAAATCTTCCTTTGTTATAGAGTTCAACACTGCTTTTGGTACCCTTGGCTCTTTCTGGCCAGTTTTGGAATGCTTGGCCTTTATTTGGTAAGTTATACATTGTCAAACCTACCTTGGTTATGAAGTTTCCTGAACAGCTTGTTGGTACCCTTTGCCCTTGTTGGTGTGTTTTTCAGCAGACTATCCACCTCCTTGTCTGACAGTTTTGTTCGACCTATCCTGGCTGAAAATATAGGAATATATTTATTTATTTCCAGGATACATTCTTTGATACAATTTTTTTCTGTTGAGAGTGATTCTTCACTGTTTTACAGATATACATGAAAAATGATGATTTGGGGGACTTTTTAACACAATTTTCCACATTTTGTTATTTTCTATAAAACGACTTTGAGAAGTTTTAATTGCTTTGAAGTATCTTATTACTGTTTGATGAACCTTTACTTTCTTTCTTTCTTTTTTCTTCTTACTTTTTGCATGTATTTACAGTTCACTTTTACCAAATCTAATTAGAACCACTGACTTTATTTGAGTGAAACGTGTCGAATTCTACACATTTACATTGACATCACACATCTGATGCATTAACTCAAGCATGCAGCCCTCCCCATGTGGCAAACCTGCTGTGTAAAGCAGAAAAGGGCTAACAACTAATTGTGAAGCACAAAAACTCCCTAATGTAAAGAAAAGAATGCAAGATTTTTGCAAGAGGATTTAATCCCTAAAGATAGGATGCACATAAATGGAAACTGATAAGGCATTTTTTTACATAAGTTGAAGTAATTAGAATCACACAAAAGCTTTGCAGCAATGCACATCAGAGATGCAAGTCAAGGTTGTCAAAGACCCTGATACAACCCATCCATTTTTTTTCATTCCGCAGAAAAATGTGTTCCAGTTGCAGTCATGTTTTTGTTTATGCACGACAGACAGTGGACATGTTATCAGAGCCGGAAACCACAGAAACTAGATTTTCTATTCAAGTCTAGCTGATAAACGCTCAACGACTATCTGTTTTAAGAATGATTTGAAATAAGAAAAAATAACGAATTTTTTTCAAATGAAAGTTAAAAAAAATTTGCTGGACGTAATTCTTCATTCAGTTTTGCCACATCTTTTTTCCCCATATAAATACAAACCAGAGAATTGTCTTACTTAACAGAGTTTTCTAATACAAGTGAAATTCTCCCAAGCCAGGACTATAAGAACACCAAACTGCAAGTTATTAGACACAAACCTATATATATATGTAACTCATTAGTCCTAAATAATTAGTCTAGACTGACAAAGACGTTTTCCTATTCTCTATTCTCTTAAGATTTCTAGATGGTCAATAAAATTCAAAACATATGGTTTAAGTTAATTTTCTCTGCCTGGTATGTAAACAAATCCTCTAATTTTGATTACAATCAATAACATTAGGAAAGTGAAATCCTGAATCGTTTTTACTAAAACAGCAAGCATGGCACTTTTTATCTTTTAAATTTTGGAATTTCACTTTTTTTTGTTACTCAATCTATAGACGAGTATAAACAGGAAGATAAAGACAATTACAAGTGTTTTCAGACAAATTTATCCTTACATCAATAGGGATTGACATCAGAGACCATTTACACAGCCTCTCAACTGTATATATAAACACCCAACTCCATATAGACCAAAATTAATTGAGCCAATTTTCCAAATCTCAGCAATTTATGACTGAAAATTCAACAGACTTCCATAACTAAGACTTTGTTGATCTTTTAAAAAGGAAAATGGAGCTCAAATCCAAATTTCTTACCTTTAAAAATTTGATACTGATTAATATAAAAAGGAGGACTTACAAATTAATAGAATGGGATTATCTAAAGGGAATGAAATTGTATTTGTTGGTAACTTCACACAACAGAATTTAGATACAGATGGGCTTATTACAAAACAGCTATGATATATAACATCAGCATGAGACTGCTTAGTTTGCGCAGGCTTGTAATGGGAGTATATACTTATTACAGAACAGCTATGATATATAAGGTCAGCATGAGACTGCTTAGTTTGTAGTGGGAGTATATACTTATTACAGAACAGCTATCATATATAACGTCAGCATGAGACTGCTTAGTTTGTGCAGGCTTGTAGTGGGAGTATATACTTAAGGAGGTATACTATATATTAAAATTACAACTGTCTGGGTATAAAAACAGAGAAGTATCTGTTTGAGATAAGGATCACACTTTACAGACACTTTCCTACCACAAGAGTTAGCTTCACAACAAACATCAGAAGAAAAAAACCCTGGTCTTCAATTTCTCATAAAAATGAATTTCCACCACGTAAATGAGGCAAGCCATCATAAGATCATCATACTTTTAGATAATTTTGTTTAAATTGAAAATTTCACATTGTAATGTGATATTAACACTACAAGCTAACCATACATCAATCCTGATGTATTGTCTCTATGTTTCACATCCTGGAAAAACATCTTCACCAGTGCATGCTCTAGATCAACTAGATAATCTCCTTAATCTGCCCCATTATCCCTAATCTTTCCCCTGCCCTACATCAGGAACTCTGTACTCTGAGGTACTGGCAGATTATCCTCACTCTCATTTGAAGTATTTGGACGTCCATGTTTATGATAGTTTTCGTTTAGAAGTGATTTTCATATAGGAGCCCCATCCTTCCATATTTCCCCGTTGTCCCATTTTCACAAATCCCCTACAAGACGACTACTGATAATTAAAATCCTTCTTGTAACAGGGATTTTAGAATGAAACTTTTTTTAGTTTCATACATCCCCTCTGAAAATTAAAGTGCTTTCTAAGGATATTAGCTTTTATAATTTAAATGACTTTTGATTTCTGTCTAAGAAGGATTTCCTAAGAGAAATCATGGTCATTTAAAGAAGCAGCAAAAAATCATCATATTTCTTTAAACTCTAGATATATATATATATATATGTCAGGCTGTCAATCAAGTCTTCTTCAAAATATAGGAGGAATACAGGAACAATTTTTCAACAAATATAGGAGTTTTTAGCTAATTTTGAGGCAAAATATAGGAGTTTTGCAAATGAAAATTGTTTCATTAAAAGGCATTTATACTAGCAATTCTTACCTTCACTTACTGTTTCTATATTAATCAATGATTAAAAACTACCTTAAAGTAACCATTCACTTCAACAGCATCACCATCCAGGCAGAGAGCTGCTGCATAGCTCATCATCATCATCTGAATGGGCACCTAAAAGGCCAATATCCTGTTGTACTGCCTTGCAAGGTGCCCATACAGGTGATAAAGAGATGCACTGAATCATTTTCTGGTGGCTGGTGACGCTGTTAAAGACTTAATAATTCTCTAACCTGTAAAATAAAGAAGCTAAAAGCAGTATCAAAGAAATATTTACACTTTTACATTTATTGGTGACAAATTTTCTGAATAATTTTCAAAAAATAGGAAAATATAGGAGGTCTTTAAAAATATAGGTTTTTGATCCAAAATAAAGGAAAATACAGGAATATAGGAATCAGTTGACAGCCTGATATATATATATATATAAATACACATATATTGAACTTCTTTATTATAAACATTTTAAATTTTTTCAGACTGAAGACAAAATGAAGATGACATGGGTTCAGATACAGGTACAACTCGATTCTGCCAAAATGTAAGGTAAGCTGAACACAATCCTTCTTTCTTCTACATCCACTGAATCACAATTCTATAATAAACAGGTTTTTACTAATTCTCACATCCATACTTAGGCCATCCTTAATATAATCTCCGTCCAACTCACCCGTAAGGTGGGGACAACAGCATTATGAAACTTGTGTTGTTTGACCCAGCCCACAAATCAAAATCATCCAATTGTTTTTGAGGTGGGGAGAATAATAGCAAGTGTTTCTCTAGAGGAATTATGCCTGATATTTCTTTACTTATGATCAAACTCATATTATCTCAGTATCAATCATAATTTTGAAAATTTTACAAATATGTACTGGATTATAAGCTGTCACTTTTTCCCCATGGGTTGTGTGTGTAGTTTATAAACTGCTGCAGTGTGTATGTGAACGAACAAATTCAGCTATGTGATAAAAACAAGGATTTTCCTTTTCACTGAATCATTTGCTATTCATACAACATATACACTATACATATTAATTTCAGATCACTCTGGGTAATGTGTATTATGACAAATGTACAGCTTTCTATGTTTTTTATGTGTCCTGCCCACCACATATCTGATATCGTGGAAAAGATCGCGTAGAATCACTCAATTGTAATGGTGTATATTGTTGATTTGAAAACTGCAATAAAAATAACAACCCCGTGGATTTGATAAACGATACCTTTAAATATGAATCCCAGTAATATTTTCTTAACTTTCATGGTTACCTCACAGCAACTGCAAGTAGCAGTAGGAACTTCACAATATAAAAAGACAGATTACTACACCCTGGGATTGATTGTAGAAGGGGAGTCGGAGGGGGAACTAATTTCATTGTTAAGCAATGTAAGTTATCTGAGAGCTACAAACAGTTTCTCAACATAAATCTAAAAACCCCATCACTAGATCATTACATGGTGACGTCAAATTCTAGAAAGGCCATCATGTTTGTTTACAATATGAACGACTTTTATACAACTTTAAAGCAAAAATATTATCAGATGATAAAAAACTTTGGAGTGACGACATTCATTAATATTTATAAAATACAGACACCAGTGGAGAGATTTAGTAAAATGTTCTACCACAAGTAACGTATGATCCTGTATTGATGTGTTGATAATCTTTAAAGACCCTTAATGAGTTTTATAGTAGATGTACTTTAAACCACCAGAATATTTTCTTCAAAAATAAAGGAATATTTGTGCATAATTCATTTGTGTAGTTATTTACTGGTTCTCTCGTGATCTTGGTTAGTTGCCTGCTGTTGATTGTTACCAACCAACTTTGGTTGACATCGTGGTCACCATATTGTGAGAAAACGATACTGCTTATTTTCCTTGAGGATCACAATGAAAAAATTGATAGAAACTGACTTTTGCAATCTATATATACCAATCCAACTTTAAACTTTAAAATACAGTAGAAACATTTTCTGGAAATTTTCAATAATAAGTAAAATGTTAACTTGACCTTAGAGCCTCTGAAACATAAACTTATTCAAAGTATTGTTTTAGCGACCTTTGTGTTAAGTTTTATCCAAATGAAATCACCTTGCTCTGAATGAT